AGAGAGAGAGAGAGAGAGAGAGGAGGGACATATAGAGAATCAAATAAAGGGAAAGAAAAAGAGAGTGTGTGTGTTAAAAAGAGGGAGAGCTCAAAACAGAGTGAGGGAAAGGATGGATTAAATGAGAGAATATATAAAGAGAGAGTGAGAGAGATGAAAGGAGAGAGAGGTGATGGAGTGGGGGAGAGAGAGCGAGAAAGAGAAGGAGAGTTAAAGAGGACAAGATGGAAGGAGAGAGATGGAGGGAGTGAAGGTGAGATGGAAGTCATGATTGAGTGAAATGGAGAGAGAAGGAGAGAAAGAGAACATAAGAAAAGAGAGAAAGGGAGAAATGGGGAGGCTAAGAGATGGTTAGAGAGAAGAAGAGAGAGACATATATATGAGAGATAGATGAAGGGATCAAGAGCAAGAAAGGGTAAGAAACATGGAGATTGATGGGAGTGCTAGAGAAATGAGTGAAGATAGCGACAAAAGAGAGTGTACGATAGTGGGAGAGAGAGAAGAAAAGTTAAAGATAAAGTGACAAAAGGGAGACAGAAAGTGAGGGGTGAAAGGGGAAAGAGATTGAGTGAGAGAGAGAAAGGGAGGAAGAGAGAAAGGGAGGAAGAGAGAAAGGAAGGGAGGGAGAGAAGAAGAGAGAGAGATAATAAAGTGGGCAGAAGTGCTAGAGAGAGGAAGTGAGAGGGGATGGAAGAGGGAGAGGGCAGATCGGACAACTAGGGCAGCACTCGGTAAGAGGATCGCGGAGAGAGTGGGGGGAAGAGAAAGTGAGTGGGAGAGGCAGAGTGTAAGAGAGTGTGAAGGAAAGGGAGAGGGAGAATAAAGAGAGAAGAGAAGAGACAAAAGGGAAGAGGAGAGAGAGAAGAGAGAGAGAGGTATTAAGGGAGGGAAGGAGGGATAAACACAGAGAGAGGAGAGAGAGAGGAGCAAATGGAGTGAAGGGAAGATTAAGAAGCCAAGAGAGGTAAAGAGAGACAAGAGAGATTGTTAGATATTTTTGAGAAAGAGGAAAAGAATAAGAGAGAGAGAAGAAAGGAGAGAGGAGAGAAGTAGGGAAGAAGGGGGAGGTGGGTAAGATTTAGATAGAGAGAGTGGGAAAGAGAGAGAGATAGAGAGAGAGAAAAGAGGAAGCATTAGAATAGAGAGAGAGCATGCATGAGTAAGAATGAAATAGAGAGAGATGAAGGGAGGGAGAGGCATAGAACATGAGAGAGAGAATATGATAGAGAGAATAGTAGAGAGGGAGAGAGTCAAAGTGAGAGAGATAGACCAAGAGAGAAAGAGAGAGCAGGAGAGATTGGAAAGAGGGAGGGAGAGAAAAGGACAGAGAGAGATGAGAAAGATCAAGAGAAAGTAAGACATTGAGAAAGAAAGCAAAGTAAAATGTTAAAGAGCAGTAATGTAGAAAAAGAAAGAGAGAGAGAGAGTGAGAGAAGGAAAGATAACAAAAATGAGAAGATAAAAAAAAAGTGTAAGAGAAGGAGGGTGGGAGAGAGAGAGAGAGATAAAGAGAGAAAGAAAGAAGAGAGAGCCAGTGAGGGAGGAAGAGAAAGATGAAAGGCATGCGAGAGATAGTGTCAGATAGTGCGGGAGGGAGAGAGGGGGAGAGAAAAAGATGGAGAGAAAGGGAGACGAGGAAAAATGAATCAAGATAGTGGGATGAAGGGAGAGAGAGAAAGACAGAAAGTGTGAGAGATAGATAGAAGAGTGAGATACCCTCCCTTTCTCTCCTTAACCCTCTCCATACTCTCTCACTCTTCATTCTCCTCTCTATTACTTCCATCCCTCCCTCTCCCTCTCTCTCCCACTCAATGTCTTCCTCTCTCTCTCACTATTGTTTTTTCTTCCCTTAGTCCCTGCTCTCTTTGTATCTCTCTCATTCTCTCTTTTATTATCGCTCCCTCTCTCTCTTATCTTTCTTGTCCCCTCTATCTCTCTCTATTTCTCATTCTCTTGCTCTCTTTTCTATCACTCATACTTCCCTCTCTCTCTTTGCTTATTCTTTCTCTTGCTTTATCGCTCACTCTCTTTTTCTCAACTTTCACTCTATTATTGTATTGCTCTCTTCTCTCCCTCTTCTTATCTCTCTCACTATTTCTCACTTTCTCTTATGCTTCTTTCTCTCATTTTTTCCCTCCCTATTTCACTCCCTCCCTCTCTCTC